AGCATCTGTTTAATCAGGCTAAAGGGGTATGATAGCTGGGTGTAGTGGCTCACACCTGTAATCCCAGCACTCCCAGAGGCTGAGGCTGGTGGATGGGCTGAGCTCATGAGTTCTAGACCAGTCTGAGCTAGAGTGAGCACTCCCATCTCTAAAATATAGCCAGGCATTATAGTAGGCACCTGTAGTCCTAGCTACTTGGGAGACTGAGGCAAGAGAATCACTAAAGCTCAATAGTTTGAGGTTGCTTTGAGTTATGACGCCATGGCACCCTACCCAGGGTGACAAAGTGAGACTCTGTCCCCATCAAAAGAAAATAATTTTTTTTTTTTTTTAAAAAAGAAGTGCCATGATATTCATGTTATTTCCGGAAAGGTGTAATGTTTTCCTGGAATTAGGGTGACATCCTTATTGGGACTTAACATGATCAACAGGAAGTGCAATGGCATCAATTGCATGATGGGAATGGGGGGCTTTCTTTAGAAACTTTTATGGTAATGAAGTATATGATGAAGCTGTAAGGTCAAGAAGTAGTCAACTCTTTTACATCTTGGTACTGTCTGGTTGTTTTGATTAGGGTAATTCTAAACCTTGTTTGGAGACGTGTGACCTAGTTAAGCAATGGCCACACTACTAAGCAATGCCTGAAGCAATGCCTGCCAGTTCCCTGTCTCAATAATGTTGGCATTTTGTTATACCAGTTATTTACTTAAGACATGCAAAATATTTATTCTATCAGTTGTAGCAGTAACCACTACACTCTTCCTTTTACAATGTATTTCCTTCTCCTTCTCCTATCATTCTCCACTTCTTTTTCTTTTTTGCCACCATCTTTTCATTTTACTTCTCTCTCTTCTTTTGAACATTTGTGTGTTTGATTACACTATGTCAAACATATTGTTTTACTGAGCACTTTGTTTAAATCATGTACTTTTTAATATTTTGAGGATGGTACTGTTACTTGTGTTGAAAGTGTAACTAAATTTGTATGCATTGCAGAAGAGTCAGAAACTAGAATTGAGCAGACTGATTTTAGTCTAAATTTCTTAATCATTATAATTTATATTCTGCTTCTAATTTAATTTTTACTCTCATGCATCTTTAATGTATCTTTCCATGTACATGTCATATATACAGATTCTTATTTTTAGAAAAGATGTGCAATTCTACCCATTTTTCTAAACATATGCACACATGAATGTCAACTTTCTGTGGAAAAATCTTTTCACTCACTTGTTTTGCTTTCATTCTTCCACAAATGTTTCTGTATTGTATTTATTTTTAACATGTAATGATAAAAAGTCTAAAATTGTCTTTTAAAAAATTTTGGAAGTAAACTGATATTTGCCAAAATATGATAGTATGCTTCTTTTATCCTTAATATTAAAAATGCCATTCTTGAAAGCTAATTTTTATCTCCCTTAATTTTATCTGGCTGCATTTATATCTGCAGCATTATACTGGACTTCATTTTAGTAAAGTTTCATTCTTTAATTTAATCTATTTAATTTAATGTCTTTACGTATTTACTTTTTTTGAGATAGAGTCTTACTCTGTCGCCCTTGGTACAGTGCTTTGGCATCATCATAGCTCACAGCAGACTTAAACTCTTGGTTTCAAGTGATCCTCCTATGTCAGGCTAGCCAGTTGCTGGGACTACAGGCGCTTGGCTAGTTTTTTCTAGTTTCAGTACAGACAGGGTCTCACTTTTGCTCAGGCTGGTCTTGAACTCTTAAGCTCAAGCAATCCACCCTCCTTAGCTTCCCAAAGTGCTAGGATTTCAAGCATGAGCCACTGTGCCCAGCTTTTATTAAATTTAAAATAAAGTCCTTGTGAATTTATCCTAGAGTCTCTTTATTGAACATAAATTATTCACAGATCCCTATGTTTTATCATCTGTGTCTATTATTCTAATCTCTATATTTGCCTGTAAATCTTGGAGAAGTTTAATAGCACTTCAACGTCATTGGCTCGATTTTCTTCAGTGTTATTTCTTCCTTTACTTTATCTAACACAGATTTTATTCTCATTGTTTCAGTTTTAAGGTGAACTTAAATCACAAATGATTTCACTCTTTTAAATTCTATCTGCAATTTAATCTAGTAACAAATTATTTAATCTTTCCAATTTTTTTTATAGACACAGAGTCTCACTTTGTCTTCCTCTGTAGAGTGCTATAGCGTCACAGCTCACAGCAACCTCCAACTCCTGGGCATAGGAGATTCTCTTGCCTCAGCCTCCCGAGTAGCTGAGACTACAGGCACCTGCCACAATGCCTGGCTACTTTTTGTTGCAGTTTGGCTGGGACTGGGTTCAAACCTTCCACCCTCATTATATGGGGCTGGCACCCTACCCACTGAGGAAGGCACCACCCTAATTATTAAAAATTTTTAATCTCTGATTTTATCCATCTTAAAATGTAACTGAGAATTCCTAGCAGGTAGTGTCTGATATATATATATATATGTATATATATATATGTGTATATATATATATATTTCATTAAATATTCTTTCAAAAAGTTTTATGCTCTTCTACATATTTTAAACATTTATTTGGGAAGGATGGTTTTCTCTTCTTTTATCATCTGTTGAAAGAAGAGAGATCAATCTAACCCTGGCATTTGCTGGAAAAGGATAAATTTTTCTAAAACACTATAACTTTCCAATTGGTTTCCATTAGCATCACCCTCTGAAACGCTAATGAGGAAGAGTTTGGTTGATGTAAATTGTGAGAGCCTGTTCAATTATGCAGCAGTCAGAGCAAGTTGGCAGGAATCCAGAGCCCTAGGAAGTCATTTAGATAAATTTCATACTTATACCATTTATTCTCTCTGTTTGGTAAGAATACTATGCCAGAGGCCATGTTTTCTATGAACCAATTTCAGTTTGGTCCTATTACTATCCCAATTACTCTCTTCCACCTCTATCCTTTAATGGCATAATAATTTGAACAAGCCATGTTTCATCAAGAAGCAGTTGTCCTATGTCATGGTTTTTGCTTGAGTGTGCTGATATGACACGTCAAAAGCCTCATAAGTTATAGCTGTGAAAAAATAATATTGAGAGTACTCTTGGTTTGTTCTTTGGGTATCACATTTCGATGCATATTTAGGATCCCTAACAACATTCCCCTTGCTGGTTGCAGCTTTCCTAAGGGGAATGTTGTAAGTAAATGCATTCTTGTCTTCCTCAAGCTGGAGCTTTCTAAACTGCACCTGACTTTCTATCTGCGATACAAGTCTTAACATTTTTTATGACACTGCATTGGTCATTTTAATATTAGAAATAAATGCTTTGCCTATTTCACTATTTCAATTATAAGTGTACTTTCTCAATTTAAATCTTTTTAAAATTTAAGTTTAATGAGAGGGTATGCAAACAACTAGGTTACAATATTTCCCTATGTTACGTAAAGTCCCTGTCGTAGTTGTGCCCGTACCCAAGAGGTGTGCCGTACACCCTACATTGTGCCCATTAAGCAGGAGCACACCAATTTTCCTCCCACATTCCCTCTCCTCCCTTTTTCCCTCCCCTCAGCTCAAATTGAACTGAGTTTTTCTCTTATGTGGGTGTGTATTAGATCACCTACTAGTTTCATATTAGTATTGAGTACAGTGAATGCTTGTTTTTCCACTATCTTGATATTTTACTAAGAAGAATGTGCTTCAATGCCATCAAGATTAATACAAACAATGTAAAGTCTCCATCTTTTATATGGCTGAATAGTATTCCATATATATATATATATATATGGAATATACTATATATATACACACACACACACCGTGGAATACTATATATATATGCCATAATTTGTGAAAACTAAACTTCACCAATCACAGAAAAATGAGAATAAATTTCAGGATCCTAAAAGTGTTGAAACATCTGATAATTTGTTGTACTTTGTGTCCTCTAAAACATATGAAAAATCGAGTGCTTTTGTACTCAGTAGTACAAAATAGTGAGTCATTTTTAAAAATTAGCACAAAGATAAGTGTAAAAACCTGTGTAAGTTGATGACTGTAGTAAAGCTATTCAATAAATGGCTCTCAGTAGAACTGCTGTTGCGTGCATTCAGGAAATTCAAAGTTTGATCTTTCCAGATCCCTTTAACATTTGACACACTGATCATTTGAATAAGGTATTTAAGTAGACAAGAAAGTAAATAAAGTGTATTTCTTTATAAATACGTGTACATGGAAAACTTTTAAACTGCCACAGTATTTACAATGTGCTTTTGCTTTCAGAGTTCTTCTGTAGAAATCACAGCAGTTTTTGCCAACAAAGTTGGGTGTTGCAAGTGTGATGAAAGTGAGAAATCCACTGAGTTGTTCTGCGATTGACAGAGTAAGAGTTTATGTATACATATTTTTGTGGACCACTCACTTTTTTAAAATGAGAAAAATATACCTAGAAAAAGATGACAATAAAATTTAAAATAGACAGGAATATTTATTCTTATTCAATTGTAATTACATTTACCCCAAATGGCATGATTAGGGGCACACATTTTAAATAGCCACTCCAATTGGAACCATGAAAATGGGATATTATTACCAGTAATGTTATATAAAAACCAAGTTTGAATTCAGACATATAGAGCAGCCCACTGAATATGTAGAAATTTATAAGTTTCTCATCTTTTCTACAAATCTCTGAATATATCAGTAAGTGATTATGATTCTTATTTATTTTCAAGGAAACTGTGGGTGACTGCCTTAAGTCTTTATACCTAAAATTATGTAAGAATCAGAAATTTTATTATATTATATTCTTGTAAGTATAAAAATGGTTTATAAAGTTAAAATCACAGTAGATAAAAATCTTTAAAAAAGAACAACTTTTGAGCCTTAGCCATGTCTATTTCTAATTAACATATTATTTAATTCTTAGCAATTACATCAGTAAATTTCAGATGAATTTTGCAATTGCACATGCCCTGCTCCAGAAGTGGATTCACCATGTACCCACATAGTTGGTTTTCATTGAGAAGAAAATGACAGCTTTCTGCAGGGGCAGTATCATAGCCAATGACGTTTATCCAGAGCATGATTATTGCTAATTGAGAAGAAAATGACCACTAGAGGTGTAAATTTAGATACCAGGGGGGCATCTGTTTCTATTGAATTACTATTGTTTAAAATTGCAATACTCAGAACTAGAGAAAAATATTCTTTATATTTCCACTTAATTTTAGGATCTAAGAGTATCAACTTAAAATAATAAGCTTATATTTCTATATATTTTCTTTCATTTTGAAGTAATTGCTCAAAGTAAGTATATATTGCTTATCTCATGAACAGGAGCTGAAGAAGCTCAGATTTGGTTGCTGTTATCACATTGAAAAATGAAACTTCTTCACAACTGTGTTGTGATAATTTTTAGCTTTTTAATATATTTTTTGTCGTTGTTTCCTTTATTCTTCTAATTTTTTAGTGTTTCAGAAACAACAAAAGTTTATTTTTTATTCTTTTTTATATATGTTGGTGAAATTGTATGGATCTTTTGCTACTTATGATTTGTCCAAATCTGCTCAAATTGTAAGGATAGTGAAAAATCTATGTACATCAGTTTTGCTATATATTTTGTCTCTGTGATTTCTGTTTTGCTAAAATAGTTCCTGTGATGTTTAGGGAAGAGGAAAATTGGAATAATAAAACATATATTCCAGCAATTTTCTTGCAATGCTGAACATTCTTAATAAACATCTGAAAATGTAAAAATGCAGGAGGGTTTGAGCTAGACTATATGTGACTTTTTCTTAAAGTCTTACAATTAAGTGATGAATACACTTAAGCAAATGATTGAAATAACTTTGTATACTGCAGGCAATGTGAATTTGCTGAGCTTACAAATAGAGATCTCAGATTCTGATTAAGATGAAGTAACCACACCTTACACTATCTCTTCCTGGGAATGCAACTAAAACTTCTGAAAGAAAGATAGGAGCAACTACCTGAAATTTCTGTACACCAAATTGTAGTGTGTGAATTAGAGTAATAAAGCAGAACTCAAAAATGAATAACTCAAGATGAGTTTTGTGGGAGTTTCCCACTTCCCTTATTTTCTGGTCTAGACATGTTGCTGATAGAAATCCTAGGACTGTAAAAGGAGCACAGAGAGAAAACACTTTATAGAAATACTTTCTGATTTTAAGAGAGTGAAGAAGAATCTCTGCTACACATAGACAATAGGAAAAAATCCCTTTGTTTGTTTTTAATCTTTACTTTATTACCTTAAAACCCTTACCTGAAACTGAAATCTAATGGTAGATGTAGTGAAACATTGTCTGTGCAGGTATTTAAAACTCTCAGGGTGGGAGATGCTTCTTCCTTACAGAAGGAGCTGATGTCAAAAGAGTGTAATGGGGATTCCTGTTGCAATTTTTATATTTTTCATTTTAATGCTCCTAAAGCTTGATCTGAAATGCAGAAATGGTCATAGAGAATGTATAGCAAAGAGGCATTGATGTCCAGCTTTGTTGCAAGAGGACTATTAAGGGTTGCCTTAAGGACTGGAAAAGCATGGAGCAGAGAAGAGAGAGAAGGGATCTTGAGAACTGGGATGGCATAAAGCTGCATGTGAATACCTGGACTCACTTCCAGTTCACATGATTTTGTACCTGCCATAATCTGCATACCAAACTATTTGAGAAAAGAACATGTTCTTTTCTTCTAGTTGAAACACACACAAAACAAATCAAAATATCACTAAAAGATCATTAGACTGAACTGAAAAATTTATACCAACAGATGCAGAAAACACATCTGAAAAAATCTAACACCTATTCTTGATAAAAAATAAAAGTCAGTAATATAGGCCTGTAAGAGAACTTTTTCAAGGTGGTAAAGAATATCTTTAAAGAATATATACCTGATAACATATGTGTACTTAATTTTGAGAAAACTATAAGCTTTCCTACAAAGATCAGAAGAAAGATGAAAACTGTATGCTTTTCAATATTATGCTAAAATATCTAGCTAATGCAATAAGACAAGAAAAACAAAGGAAAGGTATGCTAATTGAGAAGAAATTAATAAAATTGTCTTTGATTACAGAAAACATTTTTGTTTGTGTAAAAGTATTAGAACTACAAATAAAAACCCTCCTGAAACTAAAAACCAATTTTAGTCAGTCACTTTCTATATACTACCAATGAACAAATTGAATTTGAAATAAAACATAATGCCACTTATATTGGTACACACCAAAAATGAAGTAATTAGGTATAAATATAAAACAATGTTCAAGATCATATGAGGTCAATTACAAAAACTCTGAAGAAAGATATCAAATAACTAAATAAATGGTGTGTGATTCCATGTTCATTCATAAAAAGACTCAGTATAGTTGTCAATTCTTCTCAAACTTAATCTATAAGTTTAGTACAATCCTAATCCCAGCAAATTATTTTGTGAATATAGACAAACCAATACTAAAATTTATAAGAAGAGTCAAAAGGCCTGGAATATCAATATAATACTGAAGGCAAAAACAAAGTTAGGAGTTCACAGGAGAGGGGTGGAGCTATATGTTGGAAAATAAACTTTCACCAATCATCCCTCAGTACAAATACCACATTCAGTAGTTATCTACATAAGCTAGCACCTTCAGAAGAACCGAAACTCAGGTGAGTGATCCTATTACCTGGTTTTGATGTTATATTAAGTGAAGAAGCATTGAGGAGAGCTTTGTCTACACCACCCTATTCCCATCTCCCAGCAGCACCCTGCCAGCACCCTTAATGGAGAGCGCGACTATGTGCCTGGGCAGGGAAAGTGAAGTGACTTAGCATTGAAACTCAGAATTGCTCTGGCACAGGGAACATAATCACAGAGCAGAATTCTTCCAATCTCTATGAAGGAGCATTTACACCAGCCCAGCCAGAGGGAAATTCTCCACCATGAAAACCAAGTTCAGGCTACTCCACCACTGGCTGACAAAAAATAGCCAGGAGAGAGGAATAAATTAATAATGTGGTTGGGTCACTAAGGCTTCAGTTCACAGGCAGTTCTGGAAGCTGTGCTGACTTGAAGTCAGTAGACTTGGGATTTTGTGGTCTAGTGCGACACAAGGGGCAGCAACTGTGTCACCCCTCTTCCAACTTCAGACAATGTGGTTCAGGGAGAGTCTCCTTCTATGTGAAGAATAGGACAAAAATAGTTCAGAGGACTTTTTGTTTTGCAATTTGGGTACCAGCTCAGTCTCAGAAAAATAAAGTACCAAGCAGACTTCTGAAATCCCTTAGTATCTGGATGGCATTTCTAGACAGGCACAGGGCCAGAAGAAAACATGCCGCACTGAAAGAAAGGATTTAGTCTGGCAGGATTCACAACGTGCTGACGCAAGAGAGCTTGGGTTTTGTTTTTTGTTTTTTGTTTGTTATTTTTTTGAAGTACAAGCAAAAATCCTCCTGAAACTAATAAGGTAGGATTTATTTTTATTTGAGTATTATTTCAAGAAGAATTCATAAGCAATTTAATGTGATTTTTCCTGAAGGATGAAGCACAGAAAATTTTAACTCAATGTTATACATAGAAATACAAAATTGACCCAAAGGCGTAACAATTTCATTCACTGTCAAGTGTTACTAATCTTTTTATTGGTCTTTTTGGGGACTCATTGAGGGTACAAAGAACCAGGTTACATTGATTGCATTTGTTAGGTAAAGTCCTTATAATTGTGTCCCACCCCCAAAAGATGTGCCACATATGACCACTCATCCCTCCTTTCTACTCTCTTCTCTTTCCTTCCCCTACCCCTCCCTCCTTACCTTTCTCTGCTCCCCCCTTCCCCCACCTCCCTTCCTCCTTCCAACTCTCTGCTCTCCATTACCTGACCCCCCTAGAGTTGTGTACTAGGTCATCAACTCTCCTCATATGAGGATTAAGTACATAGGATTCTTGCTTCTTCATTTTTGTGATGCTTTACTAAGAATAATGTGTTTCACTTCCATTCAGGTTAATACAAAGAATGTAAAGTCTCCAACTTTTTAATGGATAGTAGTATTTCATGGTATACATATACCATGGTTTGTTAATCCATTCTTGGGTTGGTGGGTATTTAGGCTGTTTCTATAGTTTGGCAATTGTAAATTGAGCTGCAATAAACAGTCTAGTGCAAGTGTCTATATGGTAGAAGGATTTTTTTCCTTCTGAAAAGATGTCCAGTAATGGGATTGCAGGATCAAATGGGAGGTCTAGCTTGAGTTCTTTGAGGGTTCTCAGTATTTCCTTCCAACAAGGTTGTATTAGTTTGCATCCCACCAGCAGTGTAGAAATGTTCTTTCTTTCCACATCCACACCAGCATCTGAAGTTTTGAGATTTTGTGATGCGGGCCATTCTTTCTGGGGTTAGACGATATCTCAGGGTGGTTTTGATTTGCATTTGTCTAATAATTAGGGATGAGGAGCCTTTTTTCAAATGTTTGCTAGCCATCATCTATCTTCTTTAGAGAAGGTTCTATTCATGTCTCTTGCCCATTGATATATGGGATTGTTGGCTTTTTTCATGTGGATTAATTTGAGTTGTCTATAAATCCTAGTTATCAAGCTTATGGTGAGCACTCTGGACTCTGAGCCCTTGGGTTTTCAACCAACATCAGAGGTAACCAGGTAGCAGTCACCACTTGTCTTGGGCAACACTGGACTGATTTCAGGTGGGACCCAGTATTCCTGGCTCTGAGAGAATGCCCTTGTCACTTAGATCACAAACTTAATTACCTTTGAATATCTGGAAAGCCCTTTCAAGAAGGCTTGTTCAAAGAAGCTCAGCCTGAAAAAATTAAAATAAAAACTGAACTCTGCAATGCCTAGAGATTGATGACCATCCACAGGCATCAAGAACACCAGATGAACTACATAAGGTGCCAGTGATAAATTCTGAAGTAATATAGGTATGTGATATTTTAGACAAAGGATTTAAAATAACTGTCTTGAAGAAGCTAAACTTTAAGAGAAGGAATTCAGAATCTTGGAAAATAAATTTAACAGAGATTGAAATAATGATTTAATAAAACCCCAGAAATTCTGGAACTTAAGAATTCTATTGATAAATTGAGAAATAAGTCAGAGTCTCTCAACAGCATAATTAACCAAGAAAAAGAAGGGATTAGTGAATTTAAAGATCAGCTATTTGAAAATAA